TAAATGTCCAGTGAATATTTTTAAGTACCTATCATGTGCCAGGAATCCTCAGGTTTAAACTTTAGAGGGATTCTCAACCATAAGCAATAAAAACAAATAGAGATAAAGTTTTTTCCTACTTTAAAATACATAGGATGGGTGGGAAGGTGAACAGAGAAGGATACGTTAATCAAGGTGTTCGGAAAGGGCCTCTTTGAGGAGTTGACATTTAAACGGAGATTGGAATGACCAAATGAGTATTGCACGAAAAGGAAATATCTCGAGTGAGTCTTTTAAAACGAGAGCAAGTCCAATGTGTTTGAGGAATAGAAAAAAGGCCAGTCTGATTGGAGTCGGGGGAGAGTGGTGGGAGGTGGAAGAGGTGGTCTGGGATTCTACTTAGGGCTTTCTGGGCCAGCAAAGCGTCTGGACTTCATTCCAGGTGCAATCAGAAGACATGGGAGGATTCTAAGAAGGGAAGCGATCTGATCTGATTTTCGTTTCACGATTCATGTCACTCTGGCTGTGGAGAACAGGAGGGAGACTGGAAGCAAGAAAACCAATTAGGAAGCTGTTACAGGAGCCCAGAAGATGGTGCTTGGATTAGGGTGGTAGCGGTGGAGACAGAAAGTGACACTGTGAAAATGTTTTGGAGATAGGGTTGACCAGAATTCCCCATGGACTGGATGTGAGAACGGAGGACAAGAGAAGAATCATGAATGTCTACGTGCTTTTGGCTTGAGCAACTAGTGGATGGTGATGCCATTTAATTAGAAGGAAAAGGCTGAAAGAATCAAGAACTTTTTACTACTGTGTTATTTCCTTTTTTCCCTTTGCAGCCTTAACAGGCCACGATTTTCCTCTCTTCCCGATACCCTTTCCCCCCTTTCCCTCTTGCCCTTTAGTCCTTATCCAAAAGAACTTCCTCTTCCTACCTCCTCTACCCCATCCGCTCCGCGATACACTGCAATCAGGTGCCTCTCCACATCATCCCAATCAACCCCTTCCTGCCAAATGCAACAATGACCTTCTTGTTGCTAAGTCCAAGTACTTTCTCTAGCATTTAGTGCTGTTGACCATTCCTCCCTTGGCTTCTCTGAAACTGTGTGTTCCCGATCCCGCTCCCTGTCTGGATGTTCCTCCTCTCTCTGTTTCCTCGCCTTTCACACATTGGCATCTTCATAAGGTTTCTGAGTAGGTCCCCTCCTCTTCGTACACTTTACTTTTTCTCTTGGAGATTTCACCTACTACTATAAATGATCACTTATGCTGATGATTCCAGAGTAGATCTCTCTCCTGAGTTCTAGACTCCTCTGTGTAGAAGGCTTCGCTTTGACATCCCACGGACACGTCAAACTCGACACGTTTCAAATGAATTACCTTCCCTCTTCAACTTATGTTTCCTCCTAAAGTCCCCATCTTGGCGAAGGGTACTCCATTTACCTAAGCGTGAATCTCCTCCTATTCCTTAATCCTGCAGATACAATCAGCATTAATATTCAGTTGGTTCTATATCTTTACTATTTCTTGAATTCTTCTCTCTCCCTTTTCCATTCTTGCTGCCTTAGTTTAGACGTCCCTCATTTCTTTCCTGTAATGCTAACCTCCTAACTAGTCTCCCTGTTTATAGTTTCACTCACACTAATAAATTCTTCGAACTGGGGTCATCTCTCTAAAATGGACACGCTCCTTAAAATTCATCAGCGGTTCTCCATCAGCCTTAGGATAAATTGAGACTTCTTAGGAAGACATACAAGGCCTTTCACGATACAAGGCCTTGCTGATCTTTCTGGGTGTACCCTTCAGAACTTCTGCCAGACATTCACATAACTGATAATCTACTACTTTGCTGGGCACTGTCCATCATCTTCAACTCTCTGGGCATACCTTTTTACCTCCAAGACTTTACACATAGTACTTTCTTTGCTTGGGATACATCTCTCTTTAACTTGCCTACTTGTCTGGATTACTTCTCCTCATCCTTCAGAACTCCTTTCCCAATTCACCTTCTATAGTTAGGGACCCTGCCTATGCCCAGTCAGGGTTAGGTACCCATCTAATGAGCTCCTTCATTGATATTCACTCACTTGTGTGTGATCAGCTGTGTATTCATCTGCCTCCTCGTTATACTATAAGGTCCTTCGGAGCAGACTGTCTTATTCATCTCTATATTCCCAGTGCCTAGCACAGTACCTGACAAAGAGCGGACACTCAGTAATGAATAAATAAAGTAGCAGAGTTGGATTTCAAAGTCAGGTCTTTTCTCTCTGGCACAAATCTCACGTTTCTTCATGCTATTTCTTAATATCTTGAATCTGAAAATTTCCAAAATCTGTGCTAGGTATATTTTTGCCTATCGCTAAGTAAAATACAGGCAAATAGATTACTAACTCCATGATGATTCAGTTGATTATTAAATTCTTACATGTAGCCCTTCCTCATCAGCTCATTGTTTTGCTCATCAAAGTACTTTGGGTTAACTAAATCTAAAATAACTGAAAGCCCTTTCTATACATTTTTATATCCTTTCTACCTCTTATCCTGTTGCTTCCGCAGCACCACCATGCAAGCAGAGAGTAAGAACATTGAGAGTAAGGTCAATTTTATTTGATTGCCTGGCAACTGATACTAAAAAATGATGTATCAACAGCAAATCATTTTCCATTATGATTTCTTCCAAGGTCCCTGTGGATAGTTATTAAAGTTTCAATGTCAAAATTTAACATTGCAAAATCCAGCTAAAATTGACATTTTTATGTAGTGAATTCAATATAATCACAGAACTTTGTAGATGGAACCCTAGACATATTTTAGTCCAGCACTTTTGTTAAGCTTACATGAGGAAACTGACAGGAAGAAGACCTGTAAAGGCTCGTCCAAGGTCATCCAGTCTGTAGAAGTGGGAGCAAATGTCCTAACTTTCAGTCAGCTGATCTTTCCTCCACACCATATACACCCTATTATTTTCCATTTAAACAAATTACGTCAGAACCCACCAAACTGTTTACATGGTGCTTATCTTTATGATATTGCCTTTGTGATATCCTCCTTATAAAGAGAAAGGAACTGGACAAAAAAAAAAAAAAAAAGCAAGGGATTTAGGGGATTGGTAAAAGAGACTATTAGTACACAAAGTGATGGGCTCCTATTTGTAGTATAGCCTTGCAATCACACTCTGTTCCCTGAGTGCCCCAATGCTAACCCAAGCTTATTTGTGCTCCTGGGGCCTGGATTCCCTTCAATTCTATGCCTTATTTGGTCTAAATGATTTCTCCAGCTTCAGCGTGTGCTTTCTGAGCTTCATTTTAGAAATATCCTTGAATCTACTCTCTACTTGAGTTTGTTTTAGTTCTAATGCTGAGGAATGAAGATTGTGGATATAAGAAAATAAAGATGATGGGTTTTTCTAGGTTTTACATTTCAAGAATGGTTTTCTCAAATGGTAACTGGCAGTCTGCTTTATTCCTCAAATGATGACTTTTCCATGGGAATTAGAATTTAACTGGGCTAATTTGTTTTCACGGAAAGCACAGACTTCTTTCCAAGAGGATCGGCTTAATAATGTTTTACCAGCTAGTGCGACGAGACCAAATATAAACCAGTTCTGAGAAACAGGAAGTGAACCTGACTGGTCTAGTCTGTGTGTCCCTGGCAGTGACGCAAATACAGAAATCAAATTAGGAAAACAAGATATGTGGGTGTGAGGCAATCGATAATAATCCAGGATGCTACAACACAAGCAAGAACACTTTTAACCAAATGCCATTCATTTTAATAACACCCTGAGAAGTTTGATTTCCACGTAACATGCTAGTGATTAGAGAGCAGGATGAGCCTGAGTTCCCTAGCAACAGCATGTGCTTTTGAGACAGTCATTAGCCTTTCAGCTAATCCCACCAACCCCTTCCTTCTAAACCTATGACTGACATAAAAAAAAAAATTAAAAAAAAAAAGACGATGTTTCAGAAAGTGCTTTGAAATTTCTAGGAGTGAAAGGGAAAGGAATAATAGTAATAAAAAGGTTGCCCTGAGAACTGCACTCAGGTAAAAAAAAAAAAAAGTAATGTTCTCATGTGCCCAGCCTGTCCTTACATTCATTGCTGTCAGTTGTGTTTCTGATTCCCCTATGGTAAAGGGTAGAGGAGGTGAAATCCTTCAGAGTTTAAGGCAGTCCCCTTATCCAACATGGGTCACGGTCTGAAAGTGGGGTGAATAGTGGGGTGGGCAGTTTGTGTAGGGTGGAGGCTGACAGAGGGGTAAGGTGGAAGGGAACATGTAAACAAATACATAGTTTTCTTTCTCCTTTCAACAGAATAAATCAACCTGGCTGAAGTAGCCTGGGGAAGGAAGGTGGTGAGGGGAATGAAGCTATTTTTCCTATTGATTGTTTAATTGCACCAGTGGCTGTTTGTCTGAGGCCACTGGCCAAGAGCATTATTTTCGTGGCTGAAGTGAGGTTGGGCAGGTTTCCATACCCTTCTCTAGTTTTAAACAAGACAACCCGTAAAGCGCAGTCAGGCTTTAGGACTATGGTGTATGTCGACTTTTGCTACTCGGCTGTTCCCTAAAGCGCCAGGGCTGATGGGATGATGGGTCTCACACCCTGAATCATTGCCTCTAGCTCTGTCCTGGGTTCGGGACGCACAACTCCTCTGCGTAGCCCGAGCCAACTGTGGGGCGTTATTGCTACGTTTGGCGGGTCATCCTTATTATGGCCTGGGTCCCTTTCAGCTGGACACTGAGCTCCCTCAGTTTGGCCGGAGTGACTCCTGGTTCTCCCCCACCTCCCCACCTAACCCCCCTGCGCGCTCCCTTCCCAAGGCGACCACCTGCGCCGCCCCACTTACCATCTGCCCCGCGGGGAGGGCCCCCCGGGGTAGCGGAGCCCTCCCTGCTCCCGGGCGGCTCTAGGAGAGCTCGGTGTTTGCCTCCAGCCCTTCGCTACCGGAGAGATCAGGTTCCTCCCCTCCTCCCCCTCCAGCTCTGGCCGCCGCCGCCGCCGCCTCCTTGCATGACACAGCAGAACCGCAGCTGCTGCAGCGAGTCCCAACCATCCGCCCAGGAAGCGCCGCAACCCGGGCTCGGGAGGGGTAGAGGGGGGCGAGGCGGGGGCCACCTCCGAAGGGGGGGGGTTTCTGCCCCCACTTTGCACCACACAGTCCTTTCCCAGCCTAGGGGCATGGGCACAAAATAAAGCTAAAGCCGACCAGGCCGAGCCATTGAGGAAGGCTGGGGTTTGGCGTCAGAAGGGATGGGACCAGAGAGAAGGGTGTGAAGGAGACCCCAGTTGGGGCAGAACCTCGCAGGTAAAGAAGGGGAAGAAGAGACCGAGAAGTCAAGGGCCGGGCTGTGAAGGAGAATAAAGGAGGTCAATGAGAGGTAAGGGGGTAGAGTTGCGAGAAGGGAGACCAAGCTGGGAAGGGCGGGGGGGGAGCTTCAGGGGAAAAAAGACTGGGAGGGAGTATTTGGGGAGGCCTGAGCTAAGTGTCCAGGCAGCCCTGGAGGCTGAACTGGGAGGCAAGGGCAGAAAAGGGGAGAGGGGCGGAAGAATTTCGCATTAGATAGGAAGGTAAGAATTGGGGGGACATATAGCATTAGAAGGGATGTAGTGGAGCTCATTCATCATGGCTGATGAGGTAAACTGATGAGGTGGATGGAGATACAAGTCAAGGCAAAGCCCAAAGGAAGGATGATCTTCCACCCCCCTCTTCAGTTGCCTGCGAAGTTTTTCGTAATTCCACCAATCCAAACCGGGAGTTTTCCTTATAGATGGAAAAGCATGAACTAAAGCAAAAATAGCCGTTTAGCTTAGATTTACAGGATAAAATCTCCATGGTCCACACAAACTTTAAGGTAGAGATTTGGGGATTTAAGTCATCTGCCCATAGAGGGGTTGTGATTCAATACCGAAGGCACTCTGATGTGACAGTGTCCACACATCACTGGACTTGAATCAAGTCTTCCAAAGTGTGTGTCAGATACTTCAGTTCAATTCTAGGAATGATGGCAGAAATTATCTGTTCAAAATATCATTAAAAATGTATATGCTTTTCTCTCTGCGTATATATACGCATATAGCTATACTTTCTAGTGTCTAGCATGTAAAGTATGATTCAGGGGAAAATGTGTTTTTCTGATTCTTTTCTTTCCCACCAACCACCCGCTACGCATTTTACAGCAGACTGGCTACTTCTCACCATTTGAAGGAATGCGGTCAGAAAGTAATGCAAAAAGTGCCACTTTGGTTCTGTCTGTACCTTCCAGGTCATATCTTCGTACCTCACTTCCTGACACAAACAAGTTTCACTGTTGTCAGCAACAAAGCCCTAATATAGCTGCGGAAGAGACAAACTGCGTCGCGTTCTGCCTCCTGCAAGCATCATGCACAGTTACCGGAGGAATGTAATTCCAGAAAGCTTTAGAGCTGGTGGCAATGGTAATTATGCATCAAATGCCTGATTCTATTTCTGTTATTATTGTTTTGTCATTTCTGTTCTACCGAGAGCCGGCTGAACTCACAGAGGGACAAATCCGGTTTTTCTTTTTGACTTGGTAAAATGTAATCAGACCTGAGAGAGAACTCATTGCTCTTGGGGAAAATAAAGTAGGAGCCACGAAATGTCATTTTAACAGAGCGTGGGTTTTGTGACTGTAGGAAAGGATTTAAGGACGCTCCTTCTGTTCGGTTTCCTATGTAATGAGCAAGGGCTACACGCACGCACAGACGCCGCAGCTCCCGGATGCTGTGGCTCCCTTATCTGGGCTTCGGCAGCGCCAGGAGCCCCTCCGGGATGCTGTGAGGGGCTCTCGGTGGGTGGTGGTGCGAGCGCTGCGGCCGCCGCCGCCAGTCCTGCTGCTGTTGTTGCTGCTGCTGCTGCAGTCACGTGGGAGCCCCTTTAAGTTTCCATAGAGAGGCCTCTCCGGTGTCACATGATGGACATGATATAATGAAACAACATTGTGGAGAGGAAAGCATTAGGGGAGCCCACGGCTACGAAAACAAGTGAGTGAGAAGAGGTGGGAGGAAGAGAAACTACGCCACCTCCCCTGCAGCCGAGCCGCACGCAGCAGCAGCCGGCGAGGAGAAGGGGGTGACGGAGGGGGGGCGGTGTGCAGGGAGACCGGGTCCTCAGCCCCGGCTGGGAGACCCCGCCGCCAAGCGCGGAGAGAACAACTTTTAGCCGGCGACCTCGGCCAGCACTGCACCTGTCTGCGGAGCCTCCATCGCTGCCCGTGATTATCAGAGGGAAATTCTAGGAGAATACGCTCTACAAATATACATGCGCATCATTTTCCCCCTCGCGTCTCGCTCTGGAGGAAGGCGAGAGAAAGGGATTGAAGCAGCCGCGTGTTTCAGCTCCAAGGTAAGTTCTGGAGGGTGGGGAAAGCCGGCCCTACCGGCAGGACTTTGGGATGGGGATTTTGTTCTCCGTTCAGACCTCCGGGGTGGGGGCGGGGGGCGCGGAAACGAGGTGTCCCCTCGCTGTTGGCGAAGCAGATGAGTCCGATGGTCCAGCAGAAACATTTCCACTGTGGACTCTGTTATTTCCTCTTTTGCACGCACCGCGGTCCCACCCTCGGACTCCCCGGGGCCCGTCGCCTGCCCCTGGGAGGGGACCGCAGGTCACGGCCGGGGATGTTCGGCCACCGGGCGAGGGAAGGTAGGGGTCGTGGCGTTCCCCGGGAACGCCGGGGCGCTTTCGCCATGTTTGTGTTGCTAAGAGCACTTTTCCCCCCTTCGAGGTGGCTAGATGCCACATGGCTCCTCCGGAGCTGCTGCCCGGTTGAGAGTGTGTTTTTTTTCAATGTCCGCATTCCAGCTAATGTTGCGCAGATAAAATTCAAACTTGAGGTAAACAGAAGAGGAGGAGGAGGAGGGGAGGGAGGGGGGGAGACTGTTTCCATTTCGAGATCCCACCTCTTCACTCCGCGGAGACCAACATCCCTAACCTAGACAGCACTCGCTCGTTTCTCCCACCTACCCTACCTTTGCTGTCGACCAGAAATAAGGTGGCGGGAAGGGCGGGGGCTGCTTGTGGAGGGCGCGGAGCCTGGGTTCTCAGAGGGGAAAACACCCCGGGCACTCGGGCCTCTGGCTATATCCTTCCTTTCGCCGGGAGGGACGTAGGATGCCTTGGTTTGCCCAGGAGCTGGGGGCTGGGAGGGACAGCGCTCCGGGCCGAGGAGGGGGTGCCTGGCCCCTCTCACTCCTTACTTTAAGGTGCCAGACGGCATCGCTCCCACCCCGCCCAGGTGCGGGCTCCAGAAGGCGGGTCGGGTGGGTCTCCAGGTGTCCAGGGGGCAGGTGGCATAGCAGTTGTGCGGTGGGCATTTCTATTTGTAAGTTGCTTTGGGTGGGACACGTGGAGGGAGGGAAGTCTGAAGGCAAGTAGATGAGCAGAGCTGCGTCTTGTTTGTTTTTTGGCGAATTACGAAGAAAATTCAAGACGTCCCCTCACCCGTTTGGATATCTGATTGAGTTCGAAGCTACGCGGAAGGGTGAGTGGGGATGTTTAAGGGTGAGGGTGGAAAGCTAAGCTTCTGACAGCTTGTAGCAGCGTCCCCACCCCCACCCCCGGGCGGAAGAGGTGGGCTGGGTGGCCCGAGAGGGATGAAATCCCACCAGGTGGGAGCAGGCGCAGGGTCCGTAAGTGCGCGAGGGTCCGTGGCTGGGAGGCAGGGGCCACGTGAGGGGGGTCTGCGGAAGCGCCGGCGCCGAGGGGAGAGGGCGAAGTGCGTAGCAGAGTCGTGACGGGGGCTGACACGAAGCCGCGTGGGCGGTGGGCCGAGGAGGAGCGGGGGGAGACTCGCGCGGCCCCGACCCCAGAGCCGTGGCGACGGTTTCATTCCGAGCGGCGTCCCGGCTGCGGCGGGTGGGTGCGCGCTCCGGGACCTTCTCCTGGGAGACCGTTTCCGGGCGGGGTACCCGGCGAGGAGCGAGGGCTGTAAACAGGGTGGCGCCCTCTGCCCTCCCGCCCCCGGC